AGCCATGCTGGCTGGGGAATTCTGGGAGTTGAAGTCCACACATCTTAAAGTTTCCAAGGTTAAGAAACACTGTTCTAAATTAAAGTCTGTTAATAAGATGGTGTTAATGAGTTGACTTTCTAACGTGAAAGGATGGGTCTGTCCCTGAAAGGATGCCTCCAGCCCATCTGGCTGTCACGGCCAAGTCTGCTGGGAATCAGGACCCCAATTCAGGCCAACGCAGCAGATAGAAAAAGCTGTATTGCCCTACATGGCCAGGACTTTGCAAAATCTGGAGTCCAGCAGCAACAATAGCTTTGGGATGAGCACGTGTCTGGTGCTGCGACTAAGGACAGGGCTCACTCTGAACTCTTCCAAAGGAAGCCAGCAAACAAGCGTAATTCATCACAATTGTCTTTCCCTCGAACGGATTTTCACCAGAGGGCAAACTGTTAAAAGATAGTCCAGCTTACTTCTCAAAGAACTCTTCAGGGGTGCCTGCAGGAAGGAGGGGTCAAAAAAGTCAAGAGGGTGGCCACAACGGTGAGACTGAAGCCCCACCCCTTTCTTACTTGCATTGTACAGGCGGTCCTCGTTTAGTGACTGCCTCGTTTAGTGACCGTTTGCAGTTACGATGGTGATAAAAAGGAACTTTGAGACCAATCCTCGCATTGATGACCTTCATAGGTCCGTAAAACAAAGGAAAGCTGGTCAGTTTGTAAGCACAGTCATGGTTTCACTTAGCAACTGCTTCAATTAACGACCTAGTGGCTGGTCCCAATTGTGGTCGCTAAATGAGGACTAGCCGTAAAAAGGTGGGCCTTCAGTTTCAGAGTTGTGGCTGCCCTCTTGACCCCCCTGGAACTCTTACAAGTACTCCTTCATCTAAGCACTCTTTCCTGGATTAAATCAGAACCAGAACCACTAAGGCTGTTCCTTCTGATTAATGCAGGAAACAGGAATCAGACTGGACTGGAATCTGGCTGTTCGAATTGGGGGTTTCCTTCCCATGTGCACTCTCTGCCCTGGATTTAAGCTGGCCATTTCTGGAGTTCTGAGTGTAGGTTCTTCATTTTTTTGACATCTCAGAAATGCAGCCACCGCTTTTGACTGGCTCAGTGCTTCACCTAAGGCAGTGTTGTCCAAACTTGGCCACTTTAAGATGAGTGGATTTCAACTCCCAGAATTGAAATTGG